CAAGATGCCTGGTAGTTAGTTCTGCCTAGTTTGCTTCAGTGATCACAGCAGCATTTATGGTTTTTTATTTTGGCAAAATCACACAAGGAATTCATTAGTAACAGCCAAATCCCATTTTTTAAATGGTAGTCAACCATAATATCTAATGGAAAGAAGCCAAGCATAGCAGCCTCAGAATGCCTCCGTGAAGCAGTGTTAGTATCCTAAATGCAGTCTTTTATAATGATCCAAACAGTTCTGTTATCCCAGCACAGAGCATTGAATAGAAATCTAACCCATTGCTTAAGGAAGAGACCCAGAAGTTAAATTGTTGTTCCATTTACAACCTTGGATGTTGTAGAAAGTTGTGGAACTTCTTATTCATTAAATTAAGGATGAGAGAATTTTATTTGTTCAATTTTGATATCTGGGCCCTTAAATGTAATGACAGAAATAATGCTGGAGATAAAGGTAACTTTCTTAGTTAAAGAAGTTGGGTTTTTATGGGGTTTTTTCTTATTAGTTCAATTATAGCTTTTAATACAGGGATCATAAAGAGAGGTTGGAGCACAGCTGAGTTCTAACCAGGTGAGGGTCATTGGTCTGAGGGAGGACGTACTACCACGGTGAGAGGTTACACCGGGGAACTTGGCAGGTGCATCCAGTTGAGTCTTTTAGGAGGACATTGTAAACATGTGTTTTGCCCCTGGTATCGAAGTCAGTAGGGGAGATTAAATTTAAAAATAAATTGTCGGTAAGTTGGTGTTTATCCTCCATCAGGAAGGACACACCAGCTTGTTGTGTGAAGCCATGGCCATTCTGTGTGGTTGTAGGTGTGTGGTGCACAAGGGCACCACATCTAAAGGGATACCATTTACATCATAAACTTTTGTGTTTGTATATATTGCAGTATTTATGGTAATTTTGGTAACAGAATTGTTCTGTTTATTTAGCTAGAAAAATACACAGCTACCTTTTGATAAAAGTGGGCTTTAAAAAAATTGCTGTGTGTCTTGTCAGCTTCTTAGTTTTAATGGGTCAAGACCACTTCTCATTGGCACTAATACCTTTGCATTGATGCCATGCCATGCAGGCAGGGCCTGCTTCCTGGAGAAGTTGAGAATAATTGAAAATGGCTTAGAGATTTACTGTAAACTTTCCTTTCTTGACAAAATGGTCAATACGTATATATTAGCCTAGTCACTGACTGAAACCTGTATAAAAGACAGATGTATCTAACTGCGGGTTTTGCCAGGTTCTTGTCTATGAAACTCACTTTGATTGAGTGGTTTAAAGTCTCATCTAAAAATGTGAAGGATGGTAGACTACCAAGATAAATGGCAGGATGATAATTCTGTATGTATTTGAGTGTGAGGTGCTGTATTTCTTGTGTGAGAATATGTGAAAATGAGCATTGTTAAAGTCCTAGTCTGCTTAAGGCAACTGCTTCTGTGCGTGGCTTTCATTCATCCACAAACCGGATGAGGACTTGTCTTGCCTATCTTGGATTTAGGCACGTTTTCCTCGGAAGTAGACTTTCCTGGAGAGAGAGACCTGCCTCTTTCTCAATCAGAACACAGTTTCACTGTGAACCAGGTTTTCATGATTTAGCCTTCCTTGAAGCGAGATTGCAAAAGGCGAAGAATATATACCACATGGTTGAAAAAATTAAAAAGTGAAAAAAGGCAGTTATATGATACTGGAAGATTTGGTGTGACTCTGTCTTGGCTTCAGACTCTTCATAATGTTTAGAGTATCTGTTCGTTGTGATCAGATTCTAGTATTCTTTACCGTGTTACTAAGTTAGAGCATTAATGGGTACAGGTATTGATGGGTACTTTTCACTTTATTCATTTATTCATTTGACTCTCCCAGGCACCATGCTAGGTACTGCATTAAAAGCATCAAGAAAACACTTTTATTCTCTTCCCTCCCTTCCTTCACAGTTAATAGCACACTGAAAATCAGATTTTAATTTTGGATCACTGTACTTCATGTGTGCTACAGTCAAAATGAACTTTCTGTTCTGGCAGAAAGAATGAAGACTAAATGTTAAGAAAGATGAGTTCCCGGTTGTTGCCATTTAAAGCTTTTAATTATTTCCTGCAGGTCCACCTTCCTTCCTGTACAGTATTTTCAAACTTCCCAGTTAAAAAGAAGAATATTTCTCTTGTTCATACCATGGATTTTTCTCCCAGAAGTGGATATTTTGCCTTGGGGAATGAAAAGGGCAAAGCCCTGATGTATAGGTAGGTAATATTTATGCTTAAAAGTCAGAAATACCTCTCAGCCTCTTTTGAAAATGTGAAGATACAGTTGCTACATTCCCAATTCTGCAGTTATGTATAATTTATTAATTGTAATTATTAATTTATAAATTGTAGAGTGTTTATTCTGACTGTCATCTTCATATCTAACAAAATTGCATGTTTCTACCGCAAAATGTCACTAGCAGTAAGTTTACCTGGGAATTTTTTTGTGGGGGAGGGTGTTAAGCTGTATTTTGAAAATGTCAAATTGAGGAAACATTGCTGCTTTAATAATACTGCTCCTTTCTTGGTGCCTTATGTTTAGATTAACCTCTGTTGATTCGACAGTGCTCTGTTTATTCCACTGGATTTAAGTGACTTTTTAAAAGGTATTTCTTTTCCTACAGCTGTAAGCTGTAAATAAGGATGTTAACTACAAAGACATCCAAAAGTTATGCTCTGTCCAGCATCTTTTCTGCGCTCAACATACTTGGCTGTAAAGCAGGAACAAATAAAATCTAATGACAAGGTGGCTCTTCGGGGAGAACTTGTGACTTAAATCACAGCCCCCTTTCCTTGCTCGCAGTGTTGGCAGTGAATGTTACATAGAACCTGTGCTTATGTTTGTATGCTTCAGGGAAGGTCTGCTTTAAAAGAAGCTGAAATCTGGGGTGAAGAAGAGGAGGAATATAAATTGGTTTTGAGGAGATAGTTGTGAAAAGAGAACCTAGCAAACAACAACGTGGTTTATAGTTTTACTTTGAAAGGAAAGTGGGTGAAACCAGGAAAACTGGTAATTCGATCCTTTTCATTTCAGGTCATTTTTGGAGTGATTTTTTTCAGTTTAGATTTTATAAAAGGATGCAGATTCTTACTGCACTTAGAAATTCTTTTCCATAGCTTTGATTTATTATAACAACAGAATTTTTTTCTTTTCCTGTAAGCCCCAAAGGCCATTAGAGTTTCCACCAGAGCATTGATCTCTAGTGAGACTGTCTAGCAAGTGGGTTGGACTGACAACATTACTGTTGGATGTGGTTGATCAGAGCCTGACTTAATGCTTTGGAACAAGCTGAAGACTTTTATCTAAAATCTGACTTACTAGCATTAGAATCCTTCAGAATGTCAGCTTGAAGAGTCTTAATGAGAATGATTGTGATTACATTTCTATACCTACAGCCTTCCTAAGTGCTGTTCTGTGATCTGATTGACGATACTCTGGGCAATCACAAAGTTTTGATGATTTGTCTTTTACTTTTTCAGGTTGCATCATTACTCAGACTTTTAAAGAGATGATTTGAAGTAAGAAAAAAATTTTTTTAAATCGATTCTACAAAGTTGTACGGTTACACCCATCACTGTCAATTGGCAGAGTGACCACACTGACTGATCTTTGTTTCTTTGCCTCTGGGTTGCTGCATCATCAGTTAAGGGAGTGGGTTGGAAGTAGATCAGGAAGAGCCTATCTGGCTTGAACCTCCCTTGGGAATTTCTTATCGCAAATCATAACAATCTGGCTCTGTTCTTATGCTAATACTGTGTCCATAATGGTCATCAGAATTTTAATTACTGAATATTTAAGCCATAAAGGACATTAGACTTAACTGAGAGAGGTAAGTATTTTTAGACATAATCATAGCTTCCATGAGCTCAAACCCTTTTATTTTGTATATGTTTCTTGAGAGATTATGAGTGACTTGCTTTGTAGCTTGTTAATGGTGGCTTGTCACAGAGCCAGTTAAATGGCTGGTCATTAGTTTTGCTGCCATATATATATATGCATATATATATATACACACACACACACACACACACCCTATATATGTCTTTTTCTCCCAGTTTTATTGAGATATAATTGGCATACAGCACTATAAAGTGTACAGCATAATGACTTGACTTACATATATCAGGAAATGATTGTCACAGTTAAGTTTAGTGAACATCCCTCATCTCATATAGATACAAAATTAAATCGAAAAAACCTTTTTTTCTTATGATGAGAACTCTTAGGACTCACTCTTTTAACAGCTTTCATATATAACATGCAATAGTGTTAGTTGTATTTATCATGTTGTGCATCACATCCCTTGTACTTATTTATCTTGTAACTTGAAGTTGTACCTTTTGACTGCCTTCAGCCAATTGCTGCCCAATATTTAAAACAGTAGGACGTGCTTCTCTTCCCACGGCTTGATTTTTTACCTGAGATGTGGTGGTGGTTCTGAGATTGAGCTTTGCAATTGGCCTGTTCATCACAGTTGGCTAATTTGGTCTTCTCTGAGATTCATAAATGTTGAGGAGAGACTCTGGGAGTGTATATAGATTTAATTAGGGAAAAACATCTTTGAAGGTAGCAGAATTTTGAGCAAAACATTAGCCAGGAGGGGAAAGCAGTCCAGCTGTCCAGCCTCCGAAAATGACACTGCCAGTACATGTTGTTTGTCGATGACCAGTGGCTGTAAATCAAGTATATAATTTCTTTTGTTCTTTCCTTAGATCGACTTGAGCCGCAAGAGAAGCTGGTCCTGATAAATCTTCCCAGAAACTTTGCTGAATGCGTGATAATATATGGATAATGATGTATTGAGCCAGCTATGCATATTTAAGTTGAGAAATGTTTTAATAAACCCGTAGCAACTTTTGTTTGAAACTAAGTGTATGTGATTCTTCCCTCTCCACCTACACACATGCTAATTTGGGTGTATTTGTTTTAAGACTAAACATGAGAGACTGGAAGCACCTGTCCTAGCCAAAAACAATACAGGCAGATAGTCTTAAATTATATTTCCCAGTATAGATCTCTCCGTGTTGCTGTGTATCAGCCAACAGATGATGAGTTATGGAGGTCAGTCGACATTTATGAGAGTGATGAGAGCCAATGGAATGAATTTTGAACTTCTAGGTTCCCCTAGAAAGATAGTTGTGGAAACGAAAAGCCTTCTGGGCTTAGTACTCTGAATGGTTGTCATCGCTGCTTTGTGGGAAGGGGGGCATATGCTTTTTACCTGTGCGCCTGTTAAATGTGGCTTGGTGTGTGTTTCTGGTGAGGGTATGTAACCTTTTCTAAGCCTGCACAGGATGAAGTGACCAGCTGCAGGGTTTGTAACCAGCACTTCTGCACTTCAGCTTGGAGATGGTATGGAAGCAAGCAGATGCCCATGAAATGAAGTGCTTGCTCACACCTGCAGTCAGCTTCTAAGCTACTTGGGATTCCACTTAAATGTGTCTCTGGATTCACTGTACAAGAAACAAGAAATGTCTGTTCTGGTGTTCTAATCTGGAGGAAATGGAGGCTGGGCCAAGAGGTGTGGGGAGAAGGTAGAATGTGGGGTGGAAACTGCATTTCTGAGCCCCTGGCACTGCACTTGGCCTCATGCCCATATCTGTATGTGTCTCTCTCTATATCTCTAGCTATATCTCTCTCTATAATCTGTATCTCTGTACAGAAGCTCATGACATTCTCATTGTTCCTCTATAAGGAAGGTAGTATTTTCTTTTAGCGTGGAAGTAAACTGAGGTTCAGAGACGTTGGACATCACAATCCTAAAACCATCACCTTTACATAGATCAGTGGTCCTCAAGGGGGAGAGTGTGCATACTCTTAACAGTGTGAGGTACAGCCCATTAGATTGTGAGTAGGAAATACTAGAATTTACGTGCCAGAGTGTTTTTCGTTTCATGATGTATTTCTACTATAGATCATGTTGACAGTTTATAAACAAATATGTTTAAATTGAAGGCATGTTCTCTGAAGGGGCCACTGATTCAGATGCCGAGCCTACTGCCACACCAAACTTGACACGTCCAAAACTGAACACATTTCCACACCCTTCCCGTCCCTGTTTCCCAAACCTGCTTTTGTATTCCCTATGTTAACAGTTCCTCTGTTAACTGAGTCACTTAAGCTAGTTCCCTAAAACTGACTTTAAACCTGAGAATTTTCCCTACTCTATCCCCTACGACAGACTAGTTACCAAGCAATTTCTTTCCTCTCAAAAAGTTCTTTTTTCTAAACTGGCACTTCACAAGCTCTCATCAGCTCTCACCTGTTAATACTTTAGCTTCACATTTTCATTTGGTTCTCCACATTGCAGCCAGAGAGTTTTTTAAAGAACATTTATTATGAAAACTTCAAACATACACAAAAGAAAAGAGATTAGTATTATACCACTTACAATCACTCAGCTACAGCAAAGATCAGCTCCTGGGAATTTTTATATTCCCACCCACAAACTGGTTATTTTGAAGTAAGGCCAAGATGTCTCGTTTCATCTGTAAATATTTGAGTATCTATAGAGATGTGTTTTAAAAATATAAATCTGCTACTCTTGCTTAAAATCCTTCAACAGCTCATCTCTCCTAAACGCTTTGAGTATTTCCGTCTATGGAAAGGCCTTGCAAATTAACCTGCTTTGTAGGACTAGCTGTTAAGAGTCTGAACAGCACCTGGTCCGGAGCATACTCTCAGTGAACGTTAGCTGCTGGCATTGTAATCATCTTGACCACAGTCAGGTTTGAGATGGCTTTCAAGCTCCCATGCTTGGGAGAAAGGCCCATTATTCCAGCCTCTTCCCATCTCTCCAGCTTTCTCACTTACCTTATGCTCCAGAAATCTTGAACTACTTGAGATATTTCCCTGAATAAGCCGAGCTGTTTTTCTCCCCCATGCCTTTGTTCCTGCCGATGCTTCCTCCATGTCTTTACTTTTTCTGCCTTTCACACTCTGCACATCTAACAAGGCTGAGGTGGACTTCTATTACAGTTCCTGTACCCTTTGTTGCTTTTGTTTTTTTACACAGTCTCAATGGAAGATTGGAAGTGGCTCTCCAAAATGCACAGTAAAGGGAAAATAGGAACCAGCGCCTGGGAAGATGAAGAAAAAGATGGGAGAAATCAGAATTTCAATATGTAGGTTGTATGTGGTTACTAAATATGAACTGTTATTGTGTTTTTTCAATTTTGACCTAGACAGTACTCATAAATTCGGAGGGAAAATATATTTCAAGAAAAAATGAAAGTCCTCTATTCCTTTCCTATCCAAGGAAACCTCTATTAACAGTTTGATAGAAAGAAATGTATATATATTTTTTTCTTTTTTGGTCATTGTGTCAGTTTTGTGTTCAGATGCAAGCAACAAAATAGTGGCTTAAATCACAGGGACATTTAATGTTTAAGTCTAGAAATTGCAGACTGGCTAAAGAATCCGTTTGGTGGCTCAGCACATCTCTGGTCTGTGTGTCTGTGGTTTTCTTTGCCCATTTCTCATGGCTGCAAAATGGCTGCTGTACCTCATTTCCTAACATCATCACACAGCCCAAGAGCATTCCAAGCTGGAAGGAAGGCGATAGGGAGAAAACGGCCTCTTCCCTGGCAGGGCTTTCCTCTTTCTTTTTTTTTTTTTTACAGTTTTATTCAGAAATAATTGACATACATCACTGTTTAAGTTTAAGGCACATGGCCATGATGGTTTGATTTACATATATTGTGAAATGATTATCACGATAGGTTCAGCTAACATTCATCTTCCCATGTAGTACAGTAAAAAGAAAAGAAGGAAACAAACGAGAAATTGTGATGAGAACCCTTGGGATTTACTCTCTCTCCTATATACCATATAGCAGTGTTCGCTCTACTCCTCGTGTTGCACATTACATCCCTAGTACATATTTATCTTATAACTAAGTTTGAACCTTTTGCCCACCTTCCTCCAATTCCCCCTCTCCACCCCTCACCCCCTACTCTGGTAACCACAGTCTGATCTCTTTCTGTGAGCTTGGTTATTTTATTTTTAGATTCCACATATAAGTGAGGTCATACAGTATTTGTTTTTCTCTGTCTTGACTTATTTGACTTAGCATAGTGCCTTCAAGGTCCATACATTTTATTGCAAATGGTAGGATTTCCTCACTTTCTTATGGTAGAGTAACATTCCCGTGTGTGTGTGTGTATGTATATACACGTATATATATACAACTTCTTTATCCATTCATCCGTCAGTGGACACAGGTTGTTTCCATGTCTTGGCTTTTGTAAATAATGTAATGCACATGGAAGTGCAGATATCTTTCTGAGTTAGTGTTTTCTTACCTTGGCTATACTCCCAGAAGTGGATTTGCTGGATAACATACAGTAGTTCTACTTTTCACTTTCTGAGGATCCTCCACACTGTTCTCCACAGTGGCTGCACCAATTTACATTCCCACCAACAGTGCACAGAGGTTCCCTTTTCTCCACATCCTTGCCAAGGGCTTTTCTTCTTGATCGAAGGAGAAAGGCTTTCCTAGAAGTGTCCCTGCAGACTTTCCCTCATGTTTCCTTGGCAGAACAGGGTCACAGGCCCACCTCTAGAGCAACTGCTGTCAAAGAACTGGTTTTTCCATAAAACCAAGCACGCTTCATCCCGGGTGTTGGCAGTGGGGCCGCTGCCCCTGAGCACAGAGAGCATCTGCCTGTGGGTGCAAGGAGGAAGCGGGAGGAGGGAATGACTGTTGGGAGAAAACCAGCAGTGCTTGCCACAGTTACATGTGTGCATGTTTAAAAATTTTTTTTTAACATCACTGGACCCAAGTTTTAATTTCTCCAACTCACTATTTTCACTTAATTTCACTTAATTCAGCAGATGTAGCCATGCATATGGATTTACCTCCTCTCCAACTTTACTACACAGTGTCTCTGACTGAGGAACTTTGGAGTCGTTTCCTGTCCTTTACTACTGCGAACAGGGCTGCAATTAACTTTCCTATTCAGGTCTCTTTGTACACGTGTGTGTTTCTCCATGAGAGATACCTGCAGGTGGAACTGCTAGGTACAGACATTTAAAGTTTTGATTTGAAAGTTTGATAAAAATTGTTTTCCAGAAAGACTATGGCAGCGACATTCCTGCCAGTGTGGCTGAGCGTCCCTCCCTCCTCTCTCTCTGACAGCTGAGCAGGGAGGAGAGACACCACTAGGTACTACTGTTCATAACCTAATGAAGAAAAAAATGCTATTTTAGTTTGCTTATGCTGTGATTTTGATTCCATTAAAGACAATTCTATGATTCGCATTGTCCATAAGTAGTTAATACTAGCTTCCTGCAACTCATTCTTGACATTCATTTGTTAATATATTTCTCTCCTGCTAGTATTTTATTAATCTTTGTTTCCAGCATTTAGTTCAGTGCTTGTTCCATATATTAGACATACAATTTTATGAGTAAGAAAATCTGACTTGATTACAGAGAGAACAAAGGGTAAATATAGGGTAATAATGACTAAAAGCACATTTTCTGAATCCCAAATCAAGATGCATGGATTTACTAAGGACTTCCGTGCCACTTTCAGATGTGAGAAGCCATCTTGGGGGTACAGTATGAACGTAGAAATGACGAAACTTCTGAGCTGTCTTGACGGTTTATACAGACAGCAGGTCAGATTATCTGGAATTGGGACTATTTTGGAGGTTAAGTTGTGGAAAAGAGCTTACGAGAGAATGCTGAGGCATAGGAGAGATGAACTGTAGATAGCTGGAGGCGAAACGCAAGTCAGTTTTAAAAATAGGTAATGAGTTGAAAATAAACTGAAGCTTTGGATCAGCTGGCAGTTGGCAGATGCATTTTCTCCTTGACAGCTGAGTGGTGATAAAATTCCCTCATTGTAGGGCCTGCCTCCCTTCAGAAAGCATATATGGACGTGGCATAGTGAAAGGAAATCAAATTCTCTAAAGTAAGATGAAATACTGTTAATTTTATATGCCTCTGTTCTACCTCAAACCCTTGCTTCCTCAACTGTAACATCTTCCACCTTTTGCCCTCATCTGGATTTTTAGATCATTCATTCATCCTTCCCCCATCCATCCACCCACTGAACATTGGCTGAGCTCCTGTGGATGTCAGGTACTGTGTTGTTCATGCTGGATTCCCAGTACTTGCGGACAGATACAGGCCTTCCCTCAAGGAGGGGAAGTCAACACGTCAGACAGGTAATTGCAAGTTCAGCAAGTGTGATTGAAGGGGACGGGCAGAGTGCTTTGGGACATGGAGCAGCAGGGAAACTTGACCTGGTCCAAAGGGTCCTGGAGGGCTCCCTGAGGAAGCCATGCTTAAGCTGAGTTAGGAAAAGTGAGTGGGAGTTAGCCTTCCCTGCCGCCTCACCCCATTTCTCCCCGAGGCCTGCCCTCTTCCATCTGTGGGATTCCCCATCCTGTAGGGAAGACTCCCTGTGCATTCTCTGACTGCTTCTTTTTGTTTGGAACCCTGGGTCCTCCCTGAAGCTCCTGGGTCTCCTGCGGACCTCTTTCTCCTCTTTGATGGCTCTGCCCATCCACCTCCTTCCCCTCTCAGTTTGGTGAAAGAAAATGCTGCAGTTTCTCTTTCTTCTTAGACAATGCTCTAATAAGGGCATAGAGTAATCATTTTGTCTTATTTCCAAGTCTGGACAACTTTTCTTTCCGTAACATAAGGCACTTTAGTACTAGGTCCAGCATGAGTAAACTCTTGATACATGTTATAATGCTGTTGTAATTTAAAAAAGACTCTGACAGTATAGTGCCCATAACAAGCACTTCATACGTGCTGAGTCCCCTCCTGCATCCAAGGGCCCCATGACCCAGGCTGGGCAGAGAAGGAATCGTGTTTGGTAGGGATTACCTTAGAGGTCATCTGGTCCTGACTGTGGAGTAGTTTATCCGAGGGCACACAGCTTGTTAATGTCAGCGCTAGACCTGGGATCCAGGTCTTGATACTCCAACCCAAGTGTCCTGACTTGCATTTTAATGCTCTTTCTACTACTGTACCCCATGCTCTCCTCTCTCCGTGGGGATGCTCAGTGGGGCTCGCTGTCTCTTCGCTGGAAAGCCTTGAGTCTGTGCTCAGAGGGCTCCTCTTGTCTCCCCTGCACAAAGTGGACTGTCCTGTGCAACCCTGGAAACTCCCAGGAACTCTCCTCTGGCTGTCTCAGAGGGAGGGGTGGGGCGGGAGAGGATACACTGCCCCCTCCTGCTATTTCTGAGTCTGTCCTGTCTTGAGGGTTTTGAATGACATATTCCCAAATTTCCCTACATTCCTCAGTTTTTGCTTGGAGGTGTCCTTGAAGCATCCCTTCTGCTTTGCTTGGGGAGGCATTACATTACAGGTGGCAGTTGGTACCTACCGTGTGTCTTCCTGTTGTACAGTTTTAAGGACACAGTGTCCTTTTAGAGATGAGCTCCAGGAGGCAGCACAGCATCACAGTTAAGAGCACAGAACCTGGAGTCAATCTGCTTGCTTTTAAATGTCAGCCCTAACTTGGGAAAATTATTTGTACTCTTTAAGTCTCAGTTTCTTCACCTGTAAAAGAAGGGCAATAATAGAGGCCCCTCCAGAGGGTTGATGGGAAATTAAGAAGCACTGCAGCATATAAAGCACGTGGCCTGTTGCCTGGCATGTGGCAAGCATTCAATAAGTGCCAGCTGTCATTATTGTCTCATCTGACCATGGGGCAGTCTGGTGAGGTCGGCAGGGCAGTTGTTATTAACCCTTTTATACCCCTGGGAAGCTGAGTTTCAGAAATGTTAAATGACTTGGTCTGAGGTCCCAAATCCAGCAAATAGCAGTCAGGACCTCAGGTGTCCTGCCTCTGAGTCCAGGGCTCCTTCCACTCTCAGAGTGGCCTCTGGAATGAGTGCTGTTTCCCTTGGGGACCTGCCTGACTTTCACGTTTGTAAATTCTCTCGCCTTCCAACTGCTCCTCCCCGTGCCAGAATTCTGCCTGGTGCAATTCTCTGGAAACCCATGGGCCAAACTTCTGTTGCTCAGAAGCACCGGGATGCAGGTCTCTCTCAGGAGGGACCAGGAAGGGCGTGCAGCGGCTGTGAAGCTGGTGGGTTCATCCGTGCAGGGGGTGCACTGAGCCTTCAGTGGGGTGTTCACTTAGATGTCTATTGAGTGGAATTACTTTGAGTCCCTCCAACTTGAAATAAGACCTATCATCTATTTATGCATTAGAAAACTGCAGAAGCACTTAATTCTTATCACAGGTATTATAATATGATATTGCTGAAAAGATACCAGTGTGTTTTTACACCATTGCGCTTTCTACAAAGGATAGTTTCTCATCCACCGCTTCTGGGCTTCTTCTTCTTTTTTTTTTTTTTTTGCACCAAACACATTTGCATTTATTTTCTTTTTTTTAAGCAAATAACAAAGACCCAGTTTACCATCTTTACTTTTTTAAACCTAAGCTTAACATTACATACCTAAACAATTTTCAAAACTTACTAAGTTGCCAGCATTCATGCACAACTAGAAAACATCCTCAATTCATATTAAACCAGAAATGTGTTACCATTAACGCAAGAATGTCTTTCACTACTGGAAATACTGAAGAAAACTGGAATTACTTTTGTGGAAGGTTCGTCCTGGCAATGTTAACTTCACAGCAGGCTTACACTAGTTGGCTCACGTTGCAAGCACAATGGGAAGCAGGCCCGGGCTGGTGTCAGTGTACGAAAGAGTCATGGCCGCGTTGAATTATGTTTAATAAAAAAGCAAAGTGCATACAGAGATTTACAATATTAAAGACAAAAAAAGGTCCTATCATGTGGTCCCAACAATAAACTCAAAAGTCTATGACAAACAGGGCTCCGATGAGCTGTGTATAAATACGTTAGATCAGGTACAGTTATACGAAAAGGCGAGTTCGTCTGAAACCTGCCAGGCCTCGGGGCGCCCGCTACGCGGCACGTTCCTGTGCCGCGCGGGCCGGGAGCTACTTGTTCTCCAAGCGCAGCAGCTGCTCGTTACCATTTATTGTCAAGGACTTTAACTGGCCGTTCTCTTCAACTTCCACTCTTTCCTGATCGTTCTCGACAATCCTCTTTGCAGTGATTTTTCTGCCGTTAACCATCTTAGTAGAAGTTGATACAGATTTGTAGTTGCCCATCCCACCACCACCGAATGCCGCGGAAGAAAAAGACATGATGCCTCCATGACCTAGTGAACCAAAGGGCATGAATCCTGTATCAAAAGAAGAAAATCCCCCTCCAAAGGCAGGAAATCCACTGAAAGCAGAGAAGAACGACCGTGATCCTCGGTTCCAGCTCCCACGGGGGCCTCTTTGATTCCCGAAGAAGTCCTCAAATGGGTCGAAGAAGTCGAAAGCAAATGGGTCCCTTCCACCAAAAAATTCCCTGAAGACGTCATCTGGGTTTCGGAATGTGAAGCTAAACTCAAATGGACTGTCAAAGTGACTTCCACCTCCACCACCACCGTTTAATCCTTCTTCGCCATATCTGTCGTAGATGTCCCGTTTGTTAGCATCTGATAACACCTCATACACCTCAGCCACTTGCTTGAATTTTCTCTCCGCTTCTTCTTTATTCTTAGGATTTTTATCTGGATGCCATTTCAGGGCCAGTTTCCGATATGCCTTTTTAATGTCCTCGGCTGAGGCATGTCTGCACGCCTAGAACTCGGGAGCCGGCGGCGGAAGGCGCGGCGGGGTGGCGGCCGGGTCTCCTCAGCTTCTGCGCGGTGGCGGTGGTGGCGGCGGTGGCGACGGTCCTTGCGCTTTTCCTGGGCTTCTTGCTTTTGCATATCACCAAGAACATTCCATTTTGTTCAGTGAAAGCATTGGGTTCCTTTCTTTGTTGTTCAGCGCGTTGTCAGGGTAGATGCTGTTGCTTCTTTATTCTCTTACCTCTGGAATATTAATTTATGAAGTGAAAAAAGCTCTTTTACTTGTTAGCCCAGTGACACTGGTAAGTTCCTGAACCTCTCTGAGACTTAGCTGCCACATCTGAAATGATGCTAATTATCTGACAGAGATGTGTAAAGGGTTCAATTGTACTTACAAAGGACTTCATTAGCACTGTCTCTGACATTTATCCGGTGCTTGGTCAGCCTAAGTTTATCTTTACCTTGTGTTTCTATAGTCCTTCACACTTACTCATCCATAGTCAAATTCATTATTTTGTTTTCTTCTGACCCTGTGAAGCACATGAGACCAATATTATCTTGAAATATAGATAGGTATGGCTAAATTTATCATTTTATACTTCAGTTGCCCCATGTGAAAACCCCTAATTTATGTTTTTTTGTATTTTTATTTATTTATTATTATTATTTTTAAAATGGAGGTACTGGCGATTGAACCCAGGACCTTGTGCATGCTAAGCACACACTCTACCACTGAGTTTTACCCTCCCCTCCTAATTTATCGTCTTTACTTAAGCATATCACACATTTTTTAAAATTGAAAAATAAAGCACAGATACCAAAACTCACACATAAGACATGTACGTCTTATTGAATTATTATAAGGCAAACACCACCCAGGTCAAGAAATAGAACTTTGCCATCTACTGCAGGAACCCCTCCACTTGGCCTGTCCCTGTCCAGTGCCCTCTGTTCCTATAAATAACCACTCTCCTGACTTTTATGGTAATCACTTCTTTGCTTTTTCAGTTTTGTTATGCAAGTGTGTGTCCTGAAAAAGTATCATTTAGTCTTACCCATTTGAAAAAAGTGTGATATTTCTTTTAAGTCCCTTTTAATCTGTAAGTTCCTCCTCCATCCTTTCTTTTTCTTTACAATTTCTCTGTTGAAGAATTCAAACCATTTGACTTGTAGTTTCCTGCAGTCTGGATTTTGCTGACTGCAATCTCATGGTGCAGTTAGGCAAACTCCTCAGTCCTCTGTGTTTCACAAATTGGCAGATCAGAAACAGGATCAGAAATCAAGGTCAATCCCTTTGGCAAAACCACAGGTGGTCTTAGGCATGACTATAGATGCTGTGTAATGTCTGGTGGTCTTTTTATGCTGAAGTCCATCAGGGGTTGCAGAATGGTGGTATTCTAATTCTACCATTTCCTTTTCACTTATTGGAATACTTTTATAAAGAGATACCCTCATTTATTATTTGGTTACCCAGTGGTGAAGTCATACAGGACAGGTGGGATAAATGCCAGATAATTTCTCTTTACTTACCAACTTTTTAAAAAAATTGAAATATAGTTGATTTACAATATTGTGTGAGTTTCTGGTATACAGAATAGTGATTTAGTATTTTTGCAGATTATATTCCATTATAGGTTATTACAAATGAATGGCTATAATTCCCTGTGCTGTACAGTATATCCCTGTTGCTTATCTATTTTATGTATAGTTGTTTGTATCTGTTGATCTCATGACTTATTAGTTTTCAAGATGAGTTAGTTTCCTATCCTTTCTGAGGGTGACCAAACTTTTTTTTTTAACATTTTTTATTGATTTATAATCATTTTACAATGTTGTGTCAAATTCCAGTGTTCAGCATAATTGACCAACCTTTTTTAAAAAAAAATATAGTCACAAATCTGTTGGGGGGGATGGGGTGGGTACAGCCCAGGCTTAGCATGCACGAGGTCCTAGGTTAAATTCCCATTAGTATCTGCATTAAAATTTTAAAAAAATCTACAGGTTTAAATATGTTTGATGGCTTTTAATCTACTGCAGTTATTGTCATCGAAGTTCAAGTTGTCCTATCTTTGACCAGTGGAAACTTATTCAGATTTGTTCCTGAGTCCTTTGACATGACTCTAGTGGTTTTTATAGTTTCCTTACAATTCAGTATGGCAAAATGTTCCAGGCTCATCTTGCATATTTCCTCTCCCAGACCAGGAACGAGCCATTTCTCTGAGATCACTGTTTTCTTTGAATGAGAAATTGCATTTCAAGACCACATTTTCTGGTGATGATCACTGCTACTGAAGTTGCTTATTGTTTCTAGACCTTTTCAGTAGACAGAAGTGGAGCTGGCTTGGGAAATTTATTGCAGGTTGATAACATTTGTCTATGTCTTTGAAGGAGGAGGACATCAGGAGGACGTGACCGCCAGTTGACCTGTGAGCGGGACTTGGGCAATAGGAGGCCCCTCATCCCTTCCTCATGCTTGGGACTTGCATTCCGCCTACCTCCTCCGCGTTAGAAGCTGCCTCAAGGATGCAGCCTTGAGAGAGTAAGAGTTGCTGAAACCAACTAGACTGACTACGGGACTGAACTAGTTAAGGCGTCTGTATAAACTTTAAGATTTTGGCAGGCAGGTGCAGAGATCTGCTCATCTTACTTAAAAGACATGCCTTGCAAGTAAGTTCCCTGCTTATTAAAACTGCCACCTCCCAATCTGGAAGGTCTGTCTCTTTCTACCGACTCTCCTTGCTCTCCATGGGTGGAGGCCGGTTTCAGGTTTCACCTGGGGAACTCCTGAGATTGCAAACAACAGCCTTTTACACTGGAAGGTCGATTTTCCTAGATGTAAAATCTTTGGCTCATACTTTCTTTCCCCGAGTATCTTAAATATGTTTTTCTGTTTCCTTTTCGGCATAAAGTATTGCTGTTGAAAAGTCTGATAATAATTTGAATTTCTTTCCCTTATTAAGTCATATACTCATATTTTCAAGGATTTTTTCTTTTTCTTAGAAGTCTAGTCATTTTTCTAGAATGCCTTGGTGCTGGTCATTCTGGATCAATATTCTCAGGTTTGGGGTCTACTCTTGAGTATAAAGTTTCAAATCGTTTTTTTTTTAATTTAATTTAATTTAATTTTTGTGCCTGTTCTAGTCCCTTGTGGTTTTCTTCCTTAGAGACTCTGTTATCATGATCTTCTTTGCCTATCTTCAGTATTTGTCGATTTCTCTTGATCTTTTTTTATCTGTTCTTCATTTTTTATTTTAAATTTTCCCCATTTTTCACCTTCTATTCCTCTTAAGAAACATGTTGTGTTTATTTTGAAATTTTTTTTCATTTTTCAGTTTTATTAGGTAGAATGGTTACAATTTGACTGCACATATACAACATATTGTAAATACATATACACAATATACTGCACATATTTTAAACATTTACATATATCTACTATTCATTATTTCTAAGAATGTTTAGAGCTTTAGCTTTTTAAACTTACATAGTTATCAAAGGAATAAAGCCAATCACAAAGTAAGAATTAATTCAAAAAGATACATACTCTCTGCTATTAACAGCAACATTCTTCATAATTGCCAAGATATGGTAGCATCCTAAGGGCACATCAGTAGATGAATGGGTAAAAACGTGCTGTGTTTATTTGATCTTGTGTTTTATCTAGTCCAAACTTTATTTCTGAAATGATTTTTTTCTATTATTTTCAGTTCTTTCCTGAATTCTGTCACCTCACCTCTGAGTTTTTCTAATTCTGAATTAGAATGTCCTTTCAATTTCAAAAAATATATTTGAGCTTTTTTTTTCAAACAATACATTGATGTCTTTCTTTTTTTTTTTTGTGGTGAGGAGATAATTAGATTTAATTAATTAATTAATTTTTAACGGAGGTGCTGGAGATTGAACCCAGAACCTTGTGAAATGCTAAGCACATGCTCTGTCACTGAGCTATACCCTTCCCCCTGTTTGAGCTTGATTTGAACAGTCATAGTTTTATTTTGTTTTATGGACACGTCCTTTCTGGTGTGTACTTTCTCCTATGTATGGGGCCCAGTCCTAGCAGTAAGCCCTCAGTATTCACCACAGACCCCCTATCCTCATGCAGTATTGGAGGCGGCCAACCCCTTCCCCATTTTGGCTGCTGTTTTCCAGTTGGCCCTCCATGTTTCCTAGTGAATACCTGTGGGCTGTTCAGGGTTCTCCTGATCTCAGATGCTGCCCAGTTGCTTCTCTCTGCTTCCTCCTACATGGATGCTGCTAGTGCTCAGGTCTTGTGGCTGTTGGTGGTTTGTCCCCACTCATTTGTATTTTGGGGTTTATGAGTATACCTTGTCACATTTTGACCATTTCTGCCCATTTTTTGCTTTTGTTATCTCGTTGCTCTTTTTTTTTTTTTGATTTACAGATATGAGAAATTATCATCCCACTGCTGTCCATCTTACTAGAATCCTCTCTATAACAATATTAAAATTGTTGTGCTATAGCATATGCTGAAATTAGGCCTAATATATAAATGTACATAATAGATATAAAATATGTCAATATTTATATACTATATAATAAAATATAATATATAATCATATAATAAATGTACATTTGTATACAAATATATAATCCACCACAACTAAATGTAACAAAGAGAGAGAAAACAATTACCCCAAACCCTCGATGCATTACCTGTTTTACATTCTTCCTTTGTCCATCAGATTTATTGTTTTGTATCATACTTCCCTTAGATTTAAAAATTTTTGTCAAAGCAATAATGTGCATGGTTAAGAAATCAAGTGGTATGAAGATCTACAGTGAAGAAACAGTCCCTGCGTCACTCTTCTTAGCCCTCAGTCCTACTTCTTAGAGGCATCCCTCTAGCCCTTTCTTCTGGTAGTGGCTTCCATAGCTGTAAGTAATATCAGGCTACTGTTCCGTGGTCTATCCCCTTTAGACCTTTTCCTTTACTTCCTGCTGTAACGAATAAGGATCATGTCTGTTGCACCAGTCTCCCCTCCCCGACTCAATCCTCCCAATACAGTAATTTACTTATTTTCAGTTACATGGTGTTTCCATTATTATGGCTGAGTAGAAATTATGGACAAGAAAAAGCAGCAGTGTATTTTGATTGCATTTAAGTTACTGTATTGCCTTCCTTTATATCCATCTTCTCTACCCCCAGCCCAAGCTGTGCCATTAGATCAGGTGTCTGTTTCCTGGAACCTTTCTTGCTGCCCTGTCTGGACTCTGGGATTCGGCTTGACTGCTCTCTTGGTTGTTATCCTCTTTTCTGGTCCCTCATCTTCCATTTTCTTGGTTTAGGTCTTTGTTTCGCTCTGGCACATTCTCAAATAGCTTCCTAAAATAAGGTGTATTGGAGACAAATTTCTTAAGAACTTGTATACATGAAAATATCTACTTGAGTCCAAAAATTAATACCCTTAGAATTCAGAGGCATTGTTCTTCTGACATACAGTGTTACTGTTGAGAAGTCTTTTTTTAAACATTTTTTATTGAGTTACAGTCATTTTACAATGTTGTCTGTTGAGAAATCTGATAATATTCTTTTAAAAATTTTTGTTTATTTATTTTTATTGAAGTACAGTTAATTACAGTGTATCAATTTCTGCTATCCCAGTCTTGCATATACATACATATATTCATTTTCATTTTATTTTTCCATTAAAGGTTATTTCAAGATATTGAGCATAGTTCCTTGTGCTATACAAAAGAAACTTCAAAAAGAAAATCTATTTTTATATATAGTGGCTAACATTTGCAAATCTCAAACTCCCAAATTTATCCCTTCCCAACCCCTTTCCCTGGTAACAATAAGATTGTTTCCTATGTCTGAGAGTCTGTTTCTGTTTTGTAGGTGAGTTCATCGTGTCCTTTTTTTCCCTTTTTCTTTTCTTTTTGTTTTAGATTCCACATATAAGTGATATATGGTATTTTTCTTTCTCTTTCTGGCTTACTTCACTTAGAATGATGATCTCTAGGTCCATCCATGTTGCTGCAAATGGCATTACTTTATTGTTTTTTATGGCAGAGTAGTATTCCATTGTATAAATACACCACAGCTTCTTTATCCAGTTATTTGTCAATGGACATTTAGGTTACTTCCATGTCTTGGCTATTGTAAACAGTGCTGCTATGAACATTGGGGTGCATGTGTCTTTCCTCATTAGAGTTCCCTTGGGATATATACCCAGAAGTGGAATTGCTAGATCACCTGGTAAGTCTATTTTTAGTTTTTTGAGAAATCTCCATGCTGTTTTCCATAATGGTTGCACCAAACTACATTCCCAACAGCAGTGTAGTAGGGTTCCCTTTTCTTCACACCCTCTCCAGCATTTATTGTTTGTGGGCTTTTGAATGATGGCCATTCTGACTGGTGTGAGGTAATACCTCATTGTAGTTTTGATTTGCATTTCTCTGATAATTAGTGATACTGAGCATTTTTTCATATGTCTATTGGCCATTTGTATGTCTTCATTGGAGAAATGCTTGTTTAGGTCTTCTCCCCATTTTTGGATTGGGTTGTTTGTTTTTTCCTTATTAAGTTGTATGAACTGTTTATATATTCTGGAAATTAAGCCTCTGTCAGTTGCATCATTTGCAAATATTTCCTCCCATTCCATAGGTTGTCATTTTGTTTTGCTTATGGTTTCCTTTGCTGTGGAAAAGCTTATGAGTTCAATTAGGTCCCATTTGTTTATTTTTGCTCTTATTTCCATTGCCTGGGTAGACTGTTCTAGGAGGATGTTGCTTAGATTTATGTCAGAGAATGTTTTGCCTATGTGTTGTTCTAGGAGATTTATTCTGTCTTGTCTTATATTTAAGTCTTTAAGCCATTTTGAGTTTATTTTTGTGTATAGAATGAAGGAGTATTCTAACTTCATTGATTTACATGCTGCTATCCAGTTTTCCCAACACTACTTGCTGAAGAGACTGTCTTTTGTCCATTGTATATTCTTGCCTCCTTTGTCAAGATTAATTGACAGTAGGTCTGTGGATTTATTTCTGGGCTCTCTATTCTGTTCCATTGATCCATATGTCTGTTTTTATGCCAATACCATGCTGTTTTGATTACTGTAGCTCTGTAATATTGTCTGAAGTCTGGGAGGGTTATTCCTGCAGCTTCGTTCTTTTTCTTCAATAATGCTTTGGAAATTGTCGGTCTTTTGTGATTCCACATACATCTTAGGATCATTTGTTCCAGTTCTGTAAAAAATGTCCTGGGTAATTTGATAGGTATCGCATTAAATCTGTAGATTGCCTTGGGCAGTATGGCTATTTTAATGATATTGATTCTTCCAGTCCAGGAGCATGGGCTATCTTTCCATTTCTTTAAGTCTTCTTTAATTTCCTTAATCAGTGTTTTGTAGTTCTCCATGTATGTCTTACACCTCCTTGGTCAGATTTATTCCTAAGTATTTTATTGTTTATTTTAAAAGGGATTGTTTCCTTACTTTCTTTTCCTTTTGATTCATTATTAGTGTAAAGAAATGCAACTGATTTTTGTATGTTAATCTTGTACCTTGCTACCTTGCCAAAGTCTTTTATCAGCTCTAGTAGTTTTTGTGTGGAGCTTTCAGGGTTTTCTATATATAGTATCATGTCATCTGCATATAGTGACAATTTTAACTCTTCTTGTCTGATTTTGATCCCTTTTATTTCTCTCTCTTGCCTGATTGCTGTGACTAGGACTTCCAAGTCTATGCTGAATAGGAGGGGTGAGTGAGCAACCTTGTCTTGTTCCAGATTTTAGTAGAAAGGCTTTCAGCTTTTCACCATTGAGCACTATGCGGGCTGTAGGTTTGTCATAAATAGCTGTTATTATTTGAGATATGTTCCCTCTTTATCCACTTTGGTGAGAATTTTTACATAAATGGGTATTGAATTTTATCAAATGATTTTTCTGCATTTATTGAGATGATCATGTAGTTTTTGTCCTTTCTCTTGCTGATGTGGTGTATCACATTGATTGATTTGTGTATCCTGAACCATCCTTGTGTCTTGGCGATGAACCCAACTTGATCATGGTATATGATATTTTTTATGTGCTGTAGGAGTCTGTTTCCTAATATTTTGTTGAGGATTTCTGCATCTATGTTCATCAGTGATATTGGTCTGTAATTTTCTTTTTTGGTAGTGTCTTTGTCTGGTTTTGGTATTAGGGTGATGGTGGCTTCATAGAATGAGTTTGGGAGTACTCCGTCCTTTTCAATCTTTTGAAAGAGTTTGAGAAGGACCAGTATGAGTTCTTTGTATGTTTGGTAGAATTCTCCAGTGAAGGCATCTAGTCCTGGACTTTTATTTGCAATGAAGTTTTTTATTGCTAATTCTATTTCATTTCTAGTGATCAGTCTGTTCAAGTGGTCTATTTCTTCTTGATTCAGTCTTGGTGGACTGTGTGTTTCCAGAAACTAGTCCATTTCTCCCAGGTTATCCATTTTGTTGCCATACAGTTGTTCATAGTATTCTCTTATGATATTTTGTATTTCTGTGGTATTGGTTGTAATTTCTCTATTTTCCTTTCTTATTTTGTTTATTTGTGTTCTCTGTCTTTTCTTCTTGCTGAGCCTGGCCAGAGGTTTGTCAATTTTGTTTACTCTTTCAAAAAGCTAGCTCTTGGTTTGACTGATTTTTTCTATTGTCTTTTTTTCCTCTCTATTTTATTTATTTCCTTCCTGATCTTTATTATTTCCTTCCTTCTGCTGACTTTTGGTTTTGTTTGCTCTTCTTTTTCTAATTCTTTTAGCTGGTAGGTTAGATTGTTTATTTGAGATTGTTCTTTTTTGAGGAAGGCCTGTATCACTATGAACTTCCCCTCTTAGGACTGCTTTTGCTGCAACCCATAGATTTTGTGTGGTTGTGTTTTCATTGTCGTTTGTCTCAAAGTCTTTTTTAATTTTTCTTTGATTTCAACATTGATCCATTGGTTTTTTAGTAGCATATTGTTTAATCTCCATGCTGTGTTTTTTTTCCTCCTTTGTTTTTCTCTGGTTGATTTCTAGTTTCATGGCATTGTGTTCAGAAAAGATGCTTGAAATAATTTCTATCCTCTTAAATTTATTGAGGCTTCTTTGTTGCCCAAGTACATGATCTATCCTAGAAAATGTTCCATGTGCACTTGAAAAGAATGTATGTTCTATCTTTTAGGGGGATGTATTGTTCTGAAATTATCAACCAAGTTCAATTGTTCTGTTGTGTCATTTAGTTCCTCTGTTGCCTTGTTAATTTTCTGTCTGGAAGATCTGTCCATTGATGTTAATGGTGTGTTAAAGTCTCCTACTATGATTGTGTTCCTATCAGTGAGAAATCTGACAATATTCTAATTCGACTTACTTTAAAAAATCTTTTCCTTTAGAAGCTTTTAGAATCAATTTTTTTTTTCCCTGGTAAAACAAGACTTTATTACAGTGATGTGCCTAGATACGTGGTTTTTTGTATCCCATGTTCTGGGTGCTTGGAACTTTCCATCTGGAAACATTAACTCTGGGAATTATCTTGAACTATTTCATTGATAATTTCATCCCCTCTTGTTTCTCTTCCCTCTTTATAAAACTCCCAACTCAGTGGTTAGACTTTGGGCTTCTTACATACTTGCTGGGTCCAGGGACCCTGTTAGTTGCTCAGGATGGTGAGGAATAGGAGGGATTTTCTGTCCTTAAGGGTCTCACCGAAGGTATAAACCTTTGGTGAGGAATTTATGATCAGAAGGATCTTCCTGGAAGAAATATTAATAGGAAAACCCAGCAACTCAGCAGATGGCTGTCTCATTGGTTATCTCATTTAATCACCACAGAAACATTAGAAATTATGATCTGCATCTTCCCTTTGCTTAGAGAGTCAAGTACTAAGAATCTGAGAGGTAAGTTCAGGATCCCAAGCCAGTAAGTGGCAGAGATTTGGACAATGACTCTTTTTTTTTTTTTTGAATAAGAAACAAAGGCTTTATTCTCATGGGTTCTCAACTTAATTTCGCCACCGGCCAGAAAGGAGGCTGGAAACAGGCTCGGGAAAATAAACATGGTAAAAGGACGAACGAAAAGGACACACGAGTTGCCAAAACGCGTTTTTCATTAAAGCGTTGTGAAGAGAGACTCGATCATGGCTCCAGTCCAGAGAGGCCCGGGCCGGGCCGCTCACAGCTCAGCCTGTGATGCGCACGTCGGTGCGGCAGCTAAGCCGCCGGGGCCGCGCCGCCTCGGGTAGGATGGCGAGCAGCCGCTCCTGCACCAACATCTCCACGATCTGCTCCTTCGTGCGGATGTCGGGCCTCAGCCACCGGCAGGAGAGCTCCCGCAGCTGCCGGAATGCCTCCCTCGGGCCTGCCGTGTCCTGGTAGCGGAACTGCTGGAATCGCTGGCGGAACGTCTCTGGGCCGGGCCAGGAGCCGCCAGGGCCTGGCGGAGAATGTAGAGCGGCTTCGGCAAGTGGCGCGGAGCCCAGCGGTGCGGGCCCGAGGGGCAGCTCCAGGGCCGCGGAGGCCGCCTCAGGAGGCGTAGGATTTGCTTCGGGGACCGCGGCGTTGGGGCTGGAGGGCTCAGGAGCAGGTAGTGGGGCCTCAGGAGTCGACAAGGAGCCTGCAGAGTCACGCTCCGGGACTGAGTTCGGGCCAGCCCTTTCCTCTTCCCCCAACGGTGGCTCTGGGCTCCCAGTTGTCACCAAGCCCGGCTCAGTCGCCTCCGTGTCTCCGGGTCTGGACGTCGCTCTTTGTCCGGCAGCTGTGGGCGAGGCACTCTGGACATTGACTCTTAATTCTGAAGCTGCATCATACCTAGTACATTTCAGCTTTCTCTGATGACACCTGTTCAACTCTGGAGTCTTCGCCAGTTGGAATAGATGTCTTTGGGGATTCTCAAGATCTGATATGAAGCATTTGATATGAAAGGATTTCTGATCCCATTCCTCAAGAAGCAGTAAGTCAGAGAGTAT